CCTCTCCCTCTCCCTCTCCCTCTCCCTCCCTCCCTCCTTCTCCTTCTCCCTTTCCCTCTATCAAAATATACAGTGAATATAAAATATGCTTACCCAGAATTCTACTGTGCGACTTCAATATAAATATTCACTATTTGTCTGCTGGTCTCTCATTAAGAATGCAAGCTGTTCAGCCCATACGTTTACATGTGTGTGTGTGTGTGTGTGTGTGTGTGTGTGTGTGTGTGTGTGTGTGTGTGTGTGTGTGTGTGTGTGTGTGTGTGTGTGTGTGTGTGTGTATGTGTATGTGTATTTTGTGTGTGTGTCTGAAAGAGAGAGAGAGAGAGAGAGAGAGAGAGAGAGAGAGAGAGAGAGAGAGAGAGAGAGAGAGAGAGAGAGAGAGAGAGAAAGCGAGAGAGAGGTAAAGAGGAAAGAAACAGAAACAAAGAGACAGACACACAGACAAAGACAGCGTTCGTTCATAGGACTATGATACTATTTACTCGCTAATTTATGTATGAAGGTAAACTGAGTCCCTATCGATAGTCCCTTCTCTTTATGATAGCCAGATAGGGTTCATGGAACAAATTTCCTTTGCCATGAATATTTGATTATATGATTATATATCTAATAAGGCACAGAAGCACATTATGTTTTTTTTTTTCAAGTGAAAAGAAAAGGAAAGGGAGAACGAATAGGAAAAGGAAAAGGAAAAGGAATGGAAAATAAGACGAAGAAGAAAGAAAAAAAGAAAGAAAGTAAGAGAGAAAGAAAGAAGGAGGGGAAGGAAGAGGAAGAAGAAATATAAGAAAAGTAAAAAAAAAGAATAAGGAGGAGGTAGAGGAGGAGGAGAAAGAGAAGAAGGAGGAGGAAGAGGAGGAGAAGGAGGAGGAGGAGAAGGAGGAAGAAAAGGAGTACGATAAATAAAAAATATATCCTCATACATTGTTCGATTGTAGCCCCTGTCATGGAGGTGTTCGCGGTAGGTATTAAGCCAACTTAATTACAATCGATCGACACCCGCTAACACGTTTGTGAGCTCTCCGTCGATTTCCACTAACGAGGCCTCTTGTTGTTCCTCCTTGTAAGCACTCGGGTAAGCGGACTTTCGGTTAACTTTCCATTTATTCTTGCGAAAATTCCTCTATTAGATGCACATGTCTGTAACGCTGAGGTTTGAAAATGCGGGTAAGTTGCAAGTTATATGAAATGATAATGCAAATGGGTTGTTTATTTAAATCCTCCAGAGCAGGTTCGTCAATGTCCAGGTCGCCAGGGATTTGATTGGGATTCGATGAATCTCATAAGGGAAAAGGAAATCATTGTGTAGCGTTTGATTTTTCTTCTATCAATAAAAACAAACAAACGTGATCGTGTGTAAGTATAGATGACGAACGATTTTCATGAACGAACGGCGCGAGCTTTAAATGCCAGTGGCTCCAGTGACGCCCGATAGTCTCCTCAGTTACTATTCTTTATCGACATAGCGAACTGGCTACGTGGCTCGACTCAAAGAAGTGCAAGACGTAGCGTAAGCAGGGCTTCCTAGGCATCCTGTGCATACACATACACATTTATATACATGTATACATACTAAAAATTCTTATTTAAATACGTGTATGTTTATACATACATACATGCATAGATATATGCATTTATATATGCATACATATTTACATACATACATACATATGCACACATCTGTGTGTATGTGTTTGTGTGTGTGTGTGTGTGTGTGTGTGTGTGTATGTGTGTGTGTGTGTGTGTGTGTGTGTGTGTGTGTGTGTGTGTGTGTGTGTGTGTGTGTGTGTGTGTACGTTCTGATGTAATAAACATAATATATTTCAGGTGTACACACAGTGTAGATTTTCTCATCTGTTCCATAACGCGTTTACACTTAACCATTATTAACTAAACTCGCCATATCCACCATTGGAGTCTTTCATCGGCATTAAACCAACAAGCCCGTCAGTACATCCCATAAACCATCCTCACCATCAACAAATACTAGAAATAAAAATTAATCCTTCTCTCCCTCTCTCCCTTTCTCCCTCTCTCCCGTTCTCCCTCACTCCCTTTCTCCCTCTCTCCCGTTCTCCCTCCCTCCCTTTCTCCCTCTTTCCCTCTCTCTCTCTCTCCCACACGCAAAGGACGCTCTGTACCTCCTCCAAGCCCGGCCAATCACGACGCTAGAATCCTGGACTGACTTCGAAATCCTTCACGAACAGGACAATGCGCTCCTCACTGATCACGAGCTCCTCACTAAGGCCAACGTTGGGTAAGTGGGAATCGTAAGGTAAAAGTTGTATGCGAAGGTAAGCAGAAAGCGTCCGTAAGGCAAGCTGGGCATGGAGGGTAAGTAAAGTCATCATTGGGTAAGTGGGAATCGTAAGGTAAGTAGAAGGCGTCCGTAGGGCAAGCTGGAAATGGAGGGTAGGTAGAGCCAACGTTGTTTAAGTGGAAATCGTAAGGTAAAGGTTGTATGCGAAGGTAAACAGAAGGCATCCGTAGGGCAAGCTGGGGATGGAAGGTAAGTAAAGCCAACGTTGGGTAAGTGGGAATCGTAAGGTAAGCAGAAGGCGTCCGTAGGGCAAGCTGGAAATGGAGGGTAGGTAGAGCCAACGTTAGGTAAGTAGGAATCGTAAGGCAAAGAGTATATGCGAAGGTAAGCAGAAGGCGTAGGACAAGATGGAAATAAAAGCTATGAAGTATTTTTTCTGCCACAGTAGGTACTGTCAAAACGAACTGCCTTTAATTTTCTTTTAATAAATGTTATTTTACGGATACTTATTGCTCGGTTAGTTGAACACAAATTGTCAATAACTTCATCTTTATGTTTACGTGTTTTACATTACATTAACCTGGTTATCCCCTTTATTAATCTCCCATAACCCTTTCTCTTTCTCATCTCCTCATCCTCTCCATTCATCGCCACTTACTTGTTTATCCCCCTCTCCCTCTCCCATCTCACTATCCTACCTTCCATTCACATCCCCATCTCCGACCTCCCTCTCCATCCCTGTTCGTCGTCTCCCCATTAACTTCCCCATCTCCCTTTCCCAATACCCCCATTAACCTCCCCATCTCCCTCTCACCCCACTTCCCCCACCTCCCTCTCTTCCCCACCTCCTTTCCTCACCCCCCACCCCCACCCCAACTTCCCTCTCCTATTAACCTATTCTCCTCATATCTCTCTCCCATCTTCACCCCATCACCTCCCTCTCTCCCAATCCCTCCCCCCCCATTAACCTCCCCACCTCCCTACCCCCCCTCCCTCTCTCTCCCCCCTCCCTCTCTCCCCATCTCACCCTTCACCCCCCCATCCCTCACCCCCCCTACCCCAACTTCCCTCTCCCACTAACCTCCTCTCCTCATCTCTCTCTCTCTTTCTCTCCCTCTCTCTCCCCCCAGCGAAGTTCTCTATGGACGGATTTCCCCCTTAACCCTGTCGATTATGCCATCCGTCCTCGACACGGTTTTCCAGAGAGAGAACCTTCGATGCATCTGGCCGGCGATTCCCTTCGATCCCCACCACGTGAAGCTCTGCCCGACGTTTGCCTCCCAGTTCTTCCTCAACATGATCGAGGTGAGGGGGGTGAGGGGGGTGAGAGAGAGAGAGAGGGTGGGAGGGGGAAGGGAGGGGGGAGGAAGATGGGGGAAGGGAGGAGGAGGAAGAGGGGGGAAGGGAGGGGGGAGGAAGAGGGAGAAGGGAGGGGAAAGGGAGGGGGAGAAAGAGGGGGGAAGGGAGGGGGAAGGAAGATGGGGAAGGGACAGGGGAAAAGGAGGGGGGAAGGAAAAGGGGGAAGTGAGAGGGAGAGGAGAGAAGGGAGGGGAAAGGGAGAGTGGAGAAGGGAGAGGTGGAAGGTAAAGGAGAGGAAGAGGGGCGAAGGGAGGGGAAAGGAAGAGGGGGGAGGGAGAGGGGAGAAGGAAGGGGGAAGAAAGGGAGGAAGAGAGAGAGAGAGAGAGAGAGAGAGAGAGAGAGAGAGAGAGAGAGAGAGAGAGAGAGAGAGAGAGAGAGAGAGAGAGAGAGAGAGAGAGAACGAGAACGAGAGCGAGAGCGAGAGCGAGAAAGTACATCCACCCACCAATATCACCAATGCAACAATACCCTTACAGATGCAATACCATCACAACCAAGGCAATGAAGTGAACGCCACGAACCAGGCTATTGACCTCGCTGTGCACGGGTACGAGGTCACGACCCCGCAGTTCCTGTCGTGGGGTATCGAGCGCTATGGAATCATGACTAGGATGACGTTCCTTCAAGTCATGTTCAACTTAATTTATGTATGTTATTCCAGGTTTTTCCAGTTCCGTGTTCTGATTTCCCTTAATTTATTGATTTGGTTATCATTTTTCGTGTTTTATGGTTTGATGTAGAATTTGGTTCAGGTAATAGACAAAGGAATTAAATGGCTTAGTTTCATCCGCTGCCAATAAGTATTCTCTCATAGCATTGGTAATTTAATTGATTATTAGCTTGGCATCATATTTAAAGATTAGATTTAAAGATATACATACATATATATATATATATATATATATATATATATATATATATATATATATATATATACATATATATATATATATATATATATATATATATATATATATATATATATATATATATATATATATATACATATATATATATATATATATATATATATATATATATATATATATATATATATATATATATATATATATATATATGTGTGTGTGTGTGTGTGTGTGTGTTTCCTATACATGTATATATTTTTTACTCTTTCCCTGAAGTATCTTAAACCACTCTCAAAGAGAAAAATAGATAGAGAAAGAAAATTTGATAAAAGATTATTCAAATTATTCATAGATGGATTGGTTGATTAACAGACAGATAGACAGATACAGATAAATGAGTAGACAAATATAGATATGAATAGATATAATCCAGAAAGACACGAATCTAAACAAAAATGCTAAGTCATACCTTCCCCTTTCTTCCACTCTCGAAACTCCATCACCAAACGATCCTCACAAAGACCAACCATTTCGTGATCCGTTTCAGGACAAGTTCTGCAACGGCGGCCGAGTCAGTAACTGCCGCCAGAAGTTCGGAGATTACAACCTGGATCAGGGAAGGAGGACTTTGTCTCCCGAAACGCTTTATTCGGATATCACTCGTCATCTCCCAGATTTAGTTGAGGTGAGGCGTAAGGCTTGTTATATTGCGAAGTCGTCTTCTGTTTGAATCTTTATTGTTCTGATATTGTTCTATATTGTTCTTTTGTTGTTCTTTTGTTGTTCTTTATTGTTCTTTATTGTTCTTCTATTGTTTTTTATTGTTCTTTATTGTTCTTTATTGTTCTTTATTGTTTTTCTATTGTTCTTTATTGTTCTGTGTTGTTATTTATTCTCTTAATCCATTCGTTTCCTCATCTGTTTCTGTTTGTTTTAGCTGGCCATCACGCTTTCCGTTGAGAAAGTTATTCCGTTATTCTATTGTCGTGCAAGATTTGTTTCCAGTTGATATACACGAGCATTTTTATACAGTATGTACCTCTATCCGTCGTCTGTTTATACTCTATAAATACCCAACTTTCTAATGACCGCAGGCGGGCCACAACCACGTCCTCACGAGCAAATTCAGTTCCAGCAGCCAGTGCATCGCCCTCCAGATGCTAGCGGAAGACAACAAGGGTAAGGAGACGGAAGTGACAGAGAGGAAGATTTCCTGAAGGTCTTTTTTTCTCTCAAAGCGTTGGTCTAAAACTCAGATTAGGGGCTAGTTTAAGACCTTGTTTTCATGCTGTAATTGAGTTGATATAAAGAAATTGATATATCGTAAGTTATTGTAAAGCAACATGGTGCTATGATTGCGGCGGTTAAGCGGATGGTAGAGAGAGGGAGGGAGAGGGAAGAGGGAGGGGGGGGGAGAGAGCGTAGTGATTGAGAAAGGGAGAGAGAGAGAGAGAGAGAGAGAGAGAGAGAGAGAGAGAGAGAGAGAGAGAGAGAGAGAGAGAGAGAGAGAGAGAGAGAGAGAGAGAGAGAGAGAGAGAAGAGAGAGAGAGAGAGAGTAAGAGAGAGAGAGAGAGAGAGTAAGAGAGAGAGAGAGAGAAAGAGAGAGAGAGAGAGAGAGAGAGAGAAAGAGAGAGAGAGAGAGAGAGAGAGAGAGCGAGAGAGGCAGACAGACAAAGCGAAAGAGAGAGCGAGAGCGAGAGAAAGAGTGAGTACGAGAGAGGGGGGGGGGGGCGAGAGAAGGGGAGGAACCCGAGGGAAGCCGAGAGGGAGAAAAAGAGATAGAGAGAGACAGGCAGACAGACAGGCAGACAGAAAGGGTAGAAACTGAGATAGAGATAGAAAGACAAGAGAAAGACGTAGAGAGAAAAAGGGATATCCAACCACCTCTACTTTTACTTGCCTTCGACAGAGCTGAGCGAGGATAACAGGACCGACATCGCCGTCCTCCTCTCCTCGTGCACCGGCATCGAATCGGCGGACGTCCCGACGGCGCTCAAGGTAAAGCTAAGTCGTTTCCGCGAGTGTTTAAGGGGCCAAGTTCGCAGACGCCATTCACGAAGGGGGCGATGGGCGTTTACGCTGTCAGTGATTTAATGTTTCTTTTGAAGAAAATGTGCTAAAGCTTTAATAGAGGTTTATATCCAAAGCTAGAGAATATATTTCAATCTAAACTTGTAAACAGAGACAAACAAACAAAGAAAACACACATACACAAACACAAACCAACGAGCAACAAAGACACAACACAACCAGCAACAAAAACACAAACCAACGATCAACAAAAACACAACGCAACGAACAACAAAAAACACAAACCAACAAACAACAAAAAACACAACTCAACTCTCAACAAAAACCCACAAACCCGTCTAGCACACAAAGTAGACCAGCCTCCCCTCCTTCCCCTTCAGGCCTTAGCTCGCGTGATCGCCGAGAACGAGGAGTTGGACGACTTCCTCGGAATGGCAGACGACGAGGCTCAGGTGTGGCTGGAGAGCGACCCGGGCCTCGTCGGCAGCGCCTTCAGGGCCTTTCTCGCTAAGCACGGACATCGCTGCGTCAAGGAGGTACGTCCGAGAGGCACTGGGAGGAATTTGCGATGTGTGAAGCGATGTGTTGTACGTACAGAGAGGGAGATAGATAGATGGATAGATATAGAGAGAGATCGTTAGATAGGGATAGATAGATAGATATAAATAGGGATAGATAGCTGTGGATAGGGATAGATAGATACAAATAGGGACAGATAGATAGATATAAATAGGAATAGATAGATGTGGATAAGGATAGATAGATAGATACAGATAGGGATAGATGTATACAGATAGGGATAGAAAGATATAGATATGGACAGATAGATATAGATAGGAATAGAAAGAGAGTGAGAGAGAGAGAGAGTGAGAGAGAGAGAGAGAGAGAGAGAGAGAGAGAGAGAGAGAGAGAGAGAGAGAGAGAGAGAGAGAGAGAGAGAGAGAGAGAGAGAGAGAGTGAGAGAGAGAGAGAGAGAGAGAGAAA